ATACATACACATACATACATACAGACAGACATACATACAGACATACAGACATACAGACATACAGACATACAGACATACAGACATACAGACATATAGACATGCATACGTATTTACGTACATACATACATGTATGCATGCATGCATACATGCATGCATACATACATACAGTACACATACATATTTTGATTTGTATGTATGTGTGTATATATATATATATGTATTGAATGTATTATATATATATAACACATACATATGTGAACTCTGGACAGTAGTTGCTGCCGTCCACACTCTTCCCCCGCCGCCTCCCGCACCCAAATACACACATTCAGCAGGACAACTCAGAAAGCGTCATGGCCGCCCTCCGTGGAAGGTTCGAGGGGGCGATGGAGCGTGATGCGGAGCAAGGTGTGAAAGGGGAACAGGAGGCCCGGAGTAAGGGAGTTGAATTGGCGGATCGTTGCTGCGAGGTACAACACAGATCTCGAGACGAGATGGGAGGGTTGTCGCTCATCCAGGTTCAGAGTTTGAGATGAATGCGGGAGACAGAATTTGAGAGTTGTGGGCCAGCTTTGCGGTGGTGGGCTCAGCCAGGATTCCAAATCGGCCTAATCAAAAGTCGAGAAGGCCAGCAAGCCAGAATTAGAACGAGATCGGCTTGCATATATATATATATATATATGTACACGCACATCCGCACTGCTTTAAAAAAATGCTACCCAAAGTCAGTTCGGCCCCGATGCATTCAGCAACAGCAAGACAACTCTGCGAGAGACCCGTGGGCCCTGAAAAGGCCCTAGATCAGAGTCTCGAAACACTTGACCACAACGTTCACCGCTTCAGACCAGGAGCCACTTCGGAGTGTCTTTGGGGACAGTTGCTTTCTGCCCGCTGGGACGCTTGATTTCCGCGTCAGGCAGGGATGGAGCCTCACACAAACAAGCAGCTAGAAGCTTTAGGCAGAAGTTCCGGTAGTCGCCGCCAAGAGGCAGTGTTTGACCGACTAAGTTTGGGTCCACCTGCAGCACACGCAGCACACGCAGCACACGCAGCACACCACACTCTGCGAGATAGCTGCGAATCGCCGCACTCGCCTTGTTGGTTCGACTTTCGAGTCGGCGACTTTGCTCCGTCTTTCCCACCAAAGGGGCTCATTAGGATTCTCCCAATGCTTTTCATGCCTCAGTCTAGAAGCACCAGCTGGAGGCTCTCCACCGACGGCAAAAATACTTTCTTGCTGGCAGCTATGACCGAGATTGACCATGCGTGACCTTCTCGTCGGCTAATCGAAGCCTTCACGTCTTCTGTACATCATGCTGGGGCTCCTGCTCGTTTCGACTCCCCGGACGCGAGGATCGTTACCGCATCACTGGGCATCTACCCCCCGAACTTGGACAAGAAGCCTGATTCCTGCGAAAAACATAGCGGCTCCTGTTTCAGAGCTGCAAATATCAGGTGTCACTCGCTGTGGCAATGGTCCGAACACATGATGACATGCACAGCGACAAGCTGGGGCTGGGGACTGCTTTCGCCAGCGCCTAGCTGGTAAAGTCACCCAGCAAACGCACGCGGGAGCTTGGAGCGGCCTCACGGATCTCTCCCATTGTAGATGAAGCTGGGACGGTCAAGGGTACCTTGGAGCGCTGAAGCGGCACCGTACGACGTACAACTGCTAAAAATCAGATATAAGTTCATACATTCGTACACATCACCCCCAGGCGGATACTCTTCACACAAGTGCGCCTCAGCTCCACTGACAGCATGTCGGATGCGTATCTTCACAGTGGCCTGGCACCGGCAACATGGGACATTAACCTACGAAGGGCTTTGCACAAGCCCAGCCACAGCGCAGAAACGACAACAGGATCATGAGGCTGGCAGCTCGTTGTGCACTGTCGAAGAATGGCCTTTTACTGTAGGATCTTTCTGCCTCCCTGCCGTGACCCTCCTCAAAGAGTTTCTGGACCGATGCATGCAGGAGGGATCAGTATACTTTCCAAACAGCTCCAGGATTCATGTTCGGTTTTTGAGGATGGAAGAGCTATCGAACGGAACGCCGTGCGGCATGCGAACCGATAGAAAGAACTGCATCCTGAAATTCCTGTTCTGAAAAGCGGTGGTTCTGAAAGTATGCGTGCACTTCAGAAACCAGTTGCCCGAAAAGGCTGCACACAATGCAACCGCAGCTGGTGCCTCCAGGCTTCCCTGGGGCGCATCCTGTGAAGTCGCGAAGAATGCTCCAGGGTGCGTGTGCAGGAAGGTTGTCTCCACCTGGAGCATGTGAGGATGGCAGAGAGCCTCTGAGAGCGCCAGCGCGCCTGTCGGACGGCGGACCGAAGCTGCGCATCCTCCAGGTGCGGAGCCAGCGCTGCGCTCATCCGCGCCAGGCCTCGGCACGCCGTGTGGAAAGGGTCTGGCCCGGGCCAACCGGGCCTTACCCTGACGGAAGGCCCTCCAGGCCGTTCCACTGGGATGTCTGGGATGCGGGCACTGGGGATCTCCGCCTTTGCAGGCATGGGCCATGGATACGACTTCAGCAACAAGGCCATGATCTCCAGGGCCAGTCACCCAGGCGGAATGCCAGCGTGATAGGTCTCACCAGCCGGTAGAAAGGCATGTAAACCTCGCTTGGCCCGTAGGGTCGAAGCTACACGAACCCCTGACTTGTCCGGACCTCCTGGCTGACTTCTTGCAAGCTGCCGTTTCTGCTGCGAACGCCTTGGCGACGCTTGTTGAAAGCCAATGCCTTTGTGATTCCGCATGGGATTGGGTATGCGACCATCCCGAATGGCGATGACCTCTTTCTGGAAGGTGGGCGAGCCGACCCTTAAAGCGCAAAAAGCTGACTTGCATGGTGAGCCCACGTGAGTCCTCTCGCGCACATCGAAAATTGGGCCCTCCGACAGACGTCGAATCTCAGTCACCACTTGGCGCGCCTGGGTATGGGGTTGGTGGATTTCCGCCCCTGAAGAGGTTGCAATATCTCGCAACGGTTCCTCGTCACGGCTCAGCTGTGCGGATCCATCCTCTCCAGACTTGATTCTTCGACATCTTCGACTTGCTGGGCAATGAGGGTTAAGGCTAAGGATCGCAAAGTCGGCGTAGCTCTACAAGATGTAAGATACCTTCATGTCAACAGTCTCTGACAAATTGTCCTGGATGACCTCATTTGACAGACCAAACCAGGATCCAACTGGAACGCCTGACATGCCGCAGCGATTACATTGTGGCTGTAGCCTGCCTCGCAGCTACTTTCGACATGACTGCATTCCAGCAGACCAGTAGGCTAGCAGCCGTGTAGCATCTAGGACCAGCAGCTGACGTCAGGGGCGGACCGAGCAATTTCTCGATATCTGAAGCCAGCGCCAGGATCGTTGGATCCTCTGGCAAGACACTCTTGCTGCTGTTTTTGGAAGTACTGCTGATTCACTTGGGACACGTGTCCTGCCCATGTGGGAAGATCGCGGTGAACATCTGCTCATATCCCTGACCTGGCGATCGCAGACAGCTGTGCTTTGCACCGGTTCCGTCTCAACAAATCAAAACGCTGCTGGCAGTGCGGTCAATGCCAAAGCCAAACTTCCTGTGTCAGAGCCGCGGATAAAAGCTAAACTGCAGCAGGAGGGCACACTCTGATGGTCCTGAGAATGCTCTGACAGGCCGCAATGAAGAGAGTCCCCACGGCCATTCTGGTGCCCGTCGTCTCTCCTCGCTGCCGAGCACCTGCACCCATGTCCGCAGCCCTTCACCAGGGCAAAGCACTAACCTGGGAGACACCGGAAGCCGAGAAGCCAACGGGCCCGTAGCTCCGCAACTGACTGTTGGAAGCTCTGGCCTGGAGTGTCCGTTCAGGCACAAGATTTTTTCCGGGCCAAAGTCCCTTGCCTAGTTAGGCAGAAAAAGAAAAGTGAGACCGTGGGCACGAGGGGCGGCTTAAAATTGGCGGGTTCTGGCACAAGATGCAGCAGCTGTCTCTATTATGCTTTGAGTCGGGACAGCTTCCGGGCTGCCAGCTGGCACAAGCATCTTTGACCCTGTGAAGGAAGCGGCGCGCCTTCAAAAGAAGCACTGGTGGAAATCCGATCTGTCTCTGAACTTTGAATGCTCTGCCTTCTCCAGCGAGAGGGTTCCAGGTGCTGCACCGTCGGGTTCCTGCTACGAACCGCGGGCTGCCAAAACCCGGAGCGCTCAGCCAACTTATCGAAGACAGCACATCGGCCTCACTGTCGGAATCGCCAGCGGACGGTGCCTGGCTTCAGGCTCGATCTTGCTTGCCAGCCGTGATGCAGAAGCCGAATTTCCAACACTTTTGATTCGCGAGGTCATGCACCAGAGGTCTCTTTGCAAGGTTAAGAGCAGCAGCCGAGTGACAATGTAGCACATCTGCAGCTACAGCGAGGCCTAGGCCTAGAGGGCACATTTACCATCTCGAAGCTCGAAAGCTGCTCCAGGGTGAAACCGCACAGCCGCACAGCGTCTGAATCTTGTCGGACCGTCGGACAGCACGGCAGTTGCGAGGTTACGCGCAAAGTCAGCCTTCTGTGGTCAGCTTGTCCTGAGGGTCCCAAACGGGAAGGGTTACTCCAGCACCCAGCAGCTGGTTCAGTCCTTGCTCGCTTTGCGCGAACCAGACCTGACACGCAAAGACATGCAGCGCCAAAAGCTGAAGCCTGAAAAACCAATCTTGGGGCTCAGGCTTGCTGGGTCGTCGAGACCCACTTCTGCTCGGTGGATCAGCTGCAACAGGCCTTGTGGACAGTATGTCAAGCCCGGAATTCAGGAAGAAAGTCATCTTCTGTCTCTTTCTGAGACAGTTCCTTGTGCATCTCAGGCCAGAACGCCGGAAAGATCTCTTCGACTTCCTGCGCACGTCAGCAGACAGAGATTTAAAATCATTGCTGCAGAAACATCATGCTCTGCTTGTCATAAGCACCATCCAGACCACATCCTGCCTAAAGCCCAACCGAAAACCCTCGCAAAGGATTGCCGACAGTGTGGAAATTTGAAGTTAATCTCCTCAAGTCCCGATGACACAGAAACATCAGTCCTCCGGAGAAAGGTTGGCAATTGCTGTCTCCTCGCAGCAAACGCAGCTCAAGTTTGGATGGCCATTGCCACAGTTGCCTTGAAGAGATGGCGCAGTTTGCCTTCATTGAAGCGACCACCGGGAGAGTCCGGCCTTATGGAGCACAAGGATGCAGTCCAAGGCTCGGCGTCGGAATCTGGGATTCGCACGTCTTCACCTGGGAAAACGCCAACCAACACTGCAGCGGGTCTTTCCATGGGAAGCCCAGGCTGCCCACCATTTCTGCAATGCCATCCGTCAGCTTCGCCTGGCAATTCTTGGCCTCCACGGGACCGAACTCCGCACAAAAGTGAAACGCTCAGGCTCACGTGTGGAAGACTCAGCTGGCCGTGAGTTTGGTGATGGTCAAGTGCGCAATTTCGCCTCGTCTGCACATCCAATCCAAGGCCCACTGGTCCGAGGCTTCAGCTCAGTGCCCAGCTCAAGGGTTTGCTGACAGATGGGTCCAGAGGATCGGTCCTTGTCTGTCAAGGAGCTCACACCTCCCAGCTCAATGGAGCCTCCCGTAGCTTGTGCCAGTATGCGCCCCCTTTCAGCTGTACCATGCAACGCCCTCTAAAACTCAGGTCGCAGCGGCGGAGGGCCTTCTAGGGGATACAGGGGAACTACCTGGCACAGAAGATGTCTCGACTGGTAGAAAAAATAAGCTTGCGCATCATGGATACTCGTACACAGGTTCGTGGAGGAAACAGGCTGGGCCCACAGTACCACCCCAACGCCACTCTCGCCACTTTCCGGGTCCACGATTGCGCATGCTCGCAAACCTGTCTTCAAACATCGGGCTTTGGCGAGGCACGAAACGCCAGAATCAAGCGTCAGCATGCGTCAGCCTTGCGCGTCGTCGGGCCCACAGCTCACCCGTTCGGCTTTCTCCCACTCTGAGCCGACATTGGCCACATGTCATTCATTGTAAGGCCAGACGCTGCCATGGTTATGAAAGTCGTCAGCATACAAAAGCCCCCCGAACAATTCGCGTTGCTAGCCGTGCCTCATCTCCGACATCACCATCCCGCCAAAGTGATGGGCCCAAGAACAAAAGCCTCTGTGAATCATTCACGGGCAAACCATCACATGGCCGTCACGCGCCACAATTCGTGGCCTGCGTCGGCCTCGGATTGGTTCGGAGTCCTGGTAGCCGACAAGAACACCTCCCTGCAGGACCGCAATGCAACGGGTCACCACGCAGAACGACAACAATCCGAGCATTCCACCCGATTTCTCACCAGCTTGGCCTGGATAAGCCCCCAAGCCAAGCCGTTGCACTTCAACGCTTCAGCTGCTTCAACTTGCCAACAGCCTACAACGCGATCTCTTCGAGCAAAACTGTCTGTCCTTGTTACACTGGTGCAGCACTGCTGCATTACACTCGGCAGGACCTGGTTTCAGGCTGCAGGGCCTTCAGGATCTAATTCCTTCGGCTTCGGCATACTTCGTCTCTCAACCAACGTGCTCCGACACATCATGATTGCGCACCAGAGAAAGAAGACGCTGATCAACTATCAATCACGGGCTGTATGCGAGCGCAACGTCTCTTCCTTTGAGAAGCTGGCTCTCTGAAGGAATGCCGGGTTGTTGCACTTCTCTGCAACCGCCTACAGCAAGGGGCAAGTTCTCAACATCCTTGACAAGTGCAGACACCAAGCTTGCAAAGTGTGCGTCCGGTCTGCGGCTGCGGCTGCCCGAACATCACGCATTGACGCCTCAGGCCGCAGCATTTAAGCACCAATGCGGAGCGGACATGAGCCACAAAGACTGGGGTCTGCGACGGTGCTGGCAACCGTCACGTAAACCTGCCGCGGGCATCGGCAGAATGAACCACCCCGCGTCCGAAGCCATGATTCGACCACTGCAAAACCTCCTCGGAAGTGACACTGTCTCCAGCCCTGCGGACACGTACTTGGACCTGGCACATCTTCTACCACAGTCAGCCTACATTCCATGAACGCTCTTGGATGCTCTTGGCCTCCTTCGTTGCGTTCGGCTCTTCAGCGGAGTCCTTCTTAACCAGCACTCACGCTTGCTGCCCCCCTGTCCTGCCCCCCGCCATCGCCTGCCCCTGCCCTTTCAATTCTTGTGTCGGTCCTGCGTGCCATGTGCCGCTTCCTCCGCAAAAAGGAGCTCGTTCAGCACAGCACCCTGCGAAACAGAGCGACTGAACTTGCTCGGACCCACTTCGACTCGTTCAGCCTGCTGCTGGAACTCGGCGTTGGA